ATAAAAGGGAGTGACATGAGAGATTTCTCTTCATTGTTTTCAAAGATGGCCAAGAAGAAAAAGGGATGTTGTACGCGATTAAGAGCGCATGCCCCTCTTTTAAGAGTGTTATCAAACCCTCACTATTCCTCGTCCTTAAAAACGGGGATTTTAAAACATTGTTCTGGAGATTGTATTCTGAAAATTTGTGAGATCGTCTACAACCTATTAAAAGGGGTGTTACCTCTCAATTCGGCTCAGAAACGAAAACTAGCTCCAAAGAAACACATCTTAAGGAGACTGATTCGACCTCAATCTGTCCAGAGACGAAGAGCTTTATTAGTCAAGCAGAAAGGTGGTTTTTTTTTCCTTTTTTAATCTCAGCAGCTGCTCCTTTACTTTTGAACCTCCTAAAATGAGTCGTAAAATGGTGTTAGTACCTGAAGTTCTGTTGAATGAACTCAAAGGAAAACTCCCCAAACCTCCGGAATTTCAATCTACTCTGAGTATAGGTCAAGAATTGGACCAGATTACACGACGTGAAGATTTAACCCCAGAAGAAAAAGTGGCTTTATACGGTCAAGAACTTCATCGGTATAGGAATTATTTACAACAAGCGAGAGAGCCAACGACTACCAAAAAAACCTCAGTCCCTGCACCCTTAGCCCCAACCCCCGCAGCAGCAGCAGCTCCAGACCCCGAGATCGATCAACAAATCATTCAAAGTGTGAATAAACCCATGCAAAGAAAAGCTGAATTATTATTAAATCATTTAAAGAAAAGCAAAGTGTTGACTTGGAATAAAGACGGAGAAATCAGTTATCGAGGTCAAAAAGTACCCGATTCTAACATTGTGGATTTAATGGCTGAAAACATGAGAACCAGACCCTTGAAAAATCATCCGGTGCCTAAAGGATTAGATGAATTTGCTCAAGCTTTAAAAGACACCCATGCTCCCATGGACTACGTGAAAAATCAAAACCTTATAAAAGCCATGCAGAAACCAGGAAAAATCAGTACTCCTAAAGGGGGCATCAGTGACGACGACGACGACGAAGAAGAAAGCGGATTTCATGATGCTTCATCTTTTTTGACCCCTATTAGACGATCTATAAAATCCAAGCCTTCTCCTATTTTAAAGTTAGAGGTGGCCCTCCAGAAGAAAAAGAAAGTCAGATCAGATCTATTTCAAAAGAGATTACAACAAATCGAAGAAGATTGGCTTCCTTTGCCTAAGACATGAAGAAGAAGAAGAAGAAGAAGGAAGACATTTTAACAGATATTTTAAAAGAGATTTATTACGATCCTAAGAGAGGGTATGGAGGCATACAGACTTTGTATCGTCAGGTCAGAAGTCTGGGGCATAAGATTTCCTTAAACACCATACGAGAATGGTTAAAAGAGCAAGATACCTATACCTTACATAAACCCATTCATCGAAAATTCCGGAGACAACAGACCAGAGTGACGGATATAGACGAACAATGGCAATTAGATTTAGCCGATGTGTCCAGTTTAAAGAAACATAATGACGGCTATACGTTTTTATTGTGTGCCATTGACGTCTTATCTAAATATGCTTGGGTGGTGCCTTTAAAACAGAAAACGGGGAAAGAAATGATTCGAGGATTAGAAGAGATTTTCCGACAAGACGGTCGACGTCCAGTCCGCATTCAATCGGATCAAGGCAAAGAATTTACCAATCGAGAATTCTTACAGGCGTTTAAATCTATTCATTTCTTTACCACTCGCAATACGGACACCAAAGGCAGTATCGTGGAACGATTTCAGAGAACCCTCAAAGCACGCATGTGGCGGTATTTCACTCGGAATCAAACCAGACGGTATTTAGAGGTCTTACTGGATTTAGTGTATGCTTACAATCATACCTATCATCGCAGTATCAAAAGAACCCCAGCTCAAGTGAAGCCCTCGAATGTGTTAAAAGTCTGGAAAACTTTATATGGGGAATTATCACCTAAACCAAAACCCCCCAAGTTTAAAACAGGAGATAAGGTCCGCATCAGTAAAGCCAAACGCACTTTTGAAAAAGGATATTTACCGAACTGGACCACGGAAATATTTACCATTGCTCAACGAGTCCCCGGTCGGTATCCTTACGTGTATCGAGTACAAGATTACAACCAGGAGGAATTAGAAGGGACTTTTTACGAGAAAGAATTACAACAGATCATTAAAAAAGACAACGTATACGAAGTGGAGGAAATCTTGGGGTATAAAAAGCGACGAGTCGGGAAGAAAATCATTCAAGAAGTCAAAATCCGGTGGAAAGGATATCCCCCTAGTTTCGATTCATGGATTCCCCAAACGGATCTCATCCAGTAACACCTCATTGGAAATTTTGTGGAGAGAATATTCCTCGAGAAGAAATTGTGTATTTTGCACAATTATTCATTTGTATTTCCCTCATCATCACGAGTGTGGTCATGTTAGCTTTACACGATCCTAATCGAGAATATTGGATGGTCTGTGTGAGTTCATCGGTGGGTTACATCATGCCTAGTCCTACCATGATGCATCAAACCCCTACGGTCAAGAAGACGAATTCACCAAGTTAGGATATATATTAGGAGATAACCAAACCCCAAGGGGATCATTTCTGATCTGAGTGAGGGACAGAGCACACCATGGAATTTTTATTCTCAGAGTATCGTTGGAAAATAGTTGAACCTGAAGGGACTACTTTAAAGGGAAGATGGATGATAAACAAAGAGAAATGTATTCAAGATTTCTTTGATCAAAATCCAGGACAAACAGGTCTCAATGAAATCTACCTGTATAAGAGATTCAAGTTACCGGACCGCAAAAGGACAAAGACCGTGCTCTTAATAGGACCTAAACCACCTAAGTATGGAGAATTCAAATGGAAAGTCAAATATGTCTTGGCTCACCGAAGACTGGGACCCGAGAAGACTTGGATTCAAGGAAAATGGATGGAAAAAGCTGGAGATTGTATACAAGACTATTTGAAGGAAGTGATCCTAAAAGGATACGATATCATGGACTGTGCTTGTGAAACAGACTATTTGTACATGAGGAGATCGTTTCCCATACAAAAAGAACTGAACCAAAGTTTTGAATGTTTGTTATCATAATGTTCTTGTTATTGTTGTTGTTATGAATAAAATAAAAGAAAAACCAAAATTCTAGTGTTGTTAGTTATTTCATATATACACACAACTAAGCGCTCTCTATACACTAGGTTTGTAAGGATGACGTTACAATCTGTTATAAATACAAAGGTCTTAAGGTCTAGGGTCTCAGTCTCAGATTGAACATGGCCGAGAGCAGTAGTTTTTACATGACTTTACCCAGTGATGAGTCCATGTCCTCTTTTTCTAGCAATACGACAGCCCAATTTAAATCATTATTGCCACAAGCAGTCGATTTAACAGACGGAGAATGGGAGGTGGCTTTAACAGAAATGATGTATCCCAATTCATTGAAAAACATCACAGAAGAGGAGGCTTATTTTGACATCCTGGTCCCTCAGTCTTTTGCTTCCCATATCAAAGACCCAAATGTTTTTAAATCGGGCAGATTTAAAATGAAAACCTTAGACCCGATGCCATTAAGTCAATGTCCTGTACTGATAGATTGGGCCCATACTAAATGGCCTCAACTCATTGATCGAGATAGCAAGTTGGAAATTAGGTGAATTCACTTCAGACCCGGGCCTTACACTCACCCCATGGCTTTGACAGAGGAAATAAGTCTAGGACTAGAGAGATCATTGAGAAAAATATGGAAAACCCCTGGTCATCCAGATGAAGAAAATTCTATGAAATTAGTATATTATGAGACCTATGATCGAGTGATGTATCAATTTAATGGAAAAATGCTTTAAAAAAATCCCTTGTGCATTCGTTTCCCCACATCCTTAGCTTATAAGCTAGGCATGGACAGTCAGAAGGTCATTCTTCAGAATGATACAGAAAACATGACCAAATGGATCAACATTAGTTACTTGGGAAACAATACTGTGGATTTATATGAAAATCTGAAATCCATGTATGTCTATTGTGACTTGATTCAACCCCAGACGGTAGGATCCAATGCCTTGAAATTATTAAGAGTGGTGCCTTGTACATTTCATTTGGAGGACTCAAAACAAGCCAAATGGGAACCCATTCGAGCGGAATATTTGAAACTAAGTAAAAACATTTCGATACCATTGAGATTCACATCATGTCTCCTTTAGGACAACCCATGCCCTTTGTAAGTGGTAAATCAGTGGTGAAACTTCATTTCAGAAAAGTATACTGAGATGAATGTACCGTTGTTTTGTTCCATCTTATTGGGTGTGATGGCTTGTCTGGGATGCTGTCTGTATTGTATTCCGCCCTAAAAAAGGGGGTATAAAAGGAAGTCCCCCGAGGACCTAAAGGTCAGTTGAACAAGAGACATGAACCATGCAGTATCATCCCGGATTACTGAGACAAAGAGGACACGGACAGTTTGTCTATCATAGAGGTTTATTACGTCAAAAAAGACACGGTTTTTTAGGATCCCCATTTAAAGTAGCAGCTCCCTTGGTCAGCAATTTAGTAGGAGGATTATTAGGAGGGGCTCAGCAGCAACCCCCACCACCACCACCACCAGCCTATTATCCACCCCAAAACTATCAAAGAGGAGAAGGATTTTTTACTGATTTACTGAAAACCGGAGCTAAACACGCCTTGACTGCTGCTGCTAGAACGGGGTTAGACGTATTAGAAAATAAGAGATCTTTAAAAGACGCAGTCAAAACTCACGGAGTACAAGCTCTAAAAAATACTTCGGGAATGGTGAAACAAAGAATGAATCTAGAAGGTACTAACAACAGAAGAAAAAAGACCCCTATGTTAGCCCGAGGAGGTCCTAAGAGAAAAAGGAAAACACAAGGAGGAAGTCCTAAAAGAAAACGTCCTTTAGATGTGTTTGACTGAGAGAGAGTATAAATAGGCCAGTCCAGTGAACAGAAGGTTCATTTGTGAAAACTGAATCCAAGTAGACACATCATGTTACAGCCCGATTCCTGTGCGTGTGGGATGAACAATTTACAATTGTTCCAAGTCCCTCCGACTAATATTGCTTTAGAAGACTCGAAATGGGAAGAATATTACCCCATTTCCAGTACTTTAGATTCGGAGACCGCTCCCATCGAATTTGAAATTAAAGGACAAGGAGATCACTATCTGGATTTATCTCAAACTTATCTTCAACTGGTATGTCAATTTACCAAAGATGATGGAAGTAATCTGACTGGGACGAACAGCACTTCGAGTCCAGTGAATAATATCTTACATTCCATGTTTACGGAAATTGATGTCAGTCTGAATGGGAAAATAGTGACCCCGGGGGACGGATACCTATCCTTACAAAGCTTATCTGGAGAAATTATTGTCATACCAACCCAGAACTTTAAAGACACAGGCGAGGGCCTGTAGTCTGTGGGAAAAAGATACAGCAGGACACATGGACGAACTGGGTTAGTCGACCTTGGTGTAGCTCAAAATAAGACCTTTGATGTAACTAAGGGCACAAGTGGTGCGGCCGATACAGTGACCATTAACGAACCCATCCTCACAGAGTTACCGGCCAATTCTAAAAACGAAGGATTCCGAAAAAGACACCAAGCTATTGCTGGGAGTAAGAAAATCACTTTGCTGGATGGTTTACATCTGGATTTGTTTCAACAAGATCGATTTCTACCTAATGGAGTGGACGTCCGTTTGAGATTTAATCGAGCTAGACCTGCTTTCTACATGATGATCAAAGGAGGAAGTACAGGAAAAGTGAAAATTTTGAGTATGATCTTGTGGGTGAGAAAAGTCAAACCCACAGCAGTCATGATGAATACCATTAATCAGAGTTTGAACACCCACAGAGCCAAATATCCCTTGAGAAGAGTGGAAGTGAAAACCTTTACTATCCCCATAGGAACTCAGTCTAAGATTACGGATCATCTGTTTCAAGGGCAGATGCCTAAACGTCTCATTTTAGGCTTTGTGGAGAATGCGGCCTTTAACGGAGATAAAACTAAAAATCCCTTTCATTTCCAAAACTTTGGGATCAAGAAATTAGATGTCAGTATCAACGGAGAGACCATGAGTACTCGTTGTTTTGAGCCTAATTTCAACGACGATTTATATCTGAGATCTTATCTCAGTCTGTATCAAGCCCTGGGAAAATTAGGAGAAGATTGGGCTCCGGACATTACCCTAGAAGAGTATAAAAGCGGCTACACTCTATGGGGCTGGGATTTCACTAAAGATCAAGAGGCGCAATCGGATAAATTCCACATCATAGAAACAGGAAATCTGAGAGTAGAAGTGCAGTTTACCAACAATACGGTTAACACCATCAATTGTGTGGTGTATGCAGAATTCGATAACCTATTAGAAATTAACAAACAGAGAGAAGTGAGCATTGATTACTAAAAATGGATACGGGACAATTGAGAGAAGTCTTATCCAGAGAATTCAAGAGTTCTTTTGGGGGCGTGTATCCTGTAGATTTATTACCGGATCAATTAAGACCTGGAGAAAAAGCTGTCGTGGTAAATACGGATCCTCAAGATCGACCTGGAGAACATTGGGTGTGTCTGTATGTGAGCAATCCCGTGGTGGAATATTTCGATTCTTATGGATTTCCTCCCTTACAAAAAGAAATTCAAGACTTTATAAAGCGTCATGCTCACCAATGGATTTATAATCCGTATCGCTATCAAGACTGGAATACCGATGTGTGTGGACAATATTGCGTGTATTATTTACATCAAAGAGACAAGAAAAGAAAGAAAACCGACGAGTGGTTATTCCCCTTTGATTAGAGTACGGCTTTACAAAGGGACAGATACGTGGCGAATTGGTTTAAAAACACTTATCATAAATTACCTACGGGTCATGGACAAAAGTGTCAATGTTTTTATCAAAATGTAATGTAATGCATTGTTGTTGTTTGTTGTTGTTGTTTGTTGTTACAAATAAAAGGGGAAAAAAATTGTGGTTTTTGTCATTTTTAAAAGTAGGTTATCTCCCTTTAACCATAGATTATTTTTCAATACACAAAACAAAATGGTAAGGGTTTGATTTAAAGATTGGGGGAAAAAATAGATACAATGAAAAAAGGTATAAATAGTAAACATGGTACAAACACACCTCAGTTGTGGACTGGCTTTCTTATGGGTAACAGCTTCAGCAAAGAAATGAGTCAGAACACTAGATTAGAGGAAACTGAATGGTTACTTAAACAGGAGGGAGGAAAAGATATCATACCACCTCCCTTGATGGAAGAGCATCCTGTAGAATATAAACCTCAGGAGGAGGAAAAAGAAAAAAGATTGACAAAGACAATGGAGTTTAAACCCATAGAGGAGAAGAGTCCACAAATAATGAAAGAAGTCCAAACTCAACTCTTGGAAGATATTAAGACTCATTATCATAACAAACATAAAGAAAATACAGGCAATCGTTATATTGCTAAGTTTAAAATAGACAGATTTAGAGTAGCCAAAAACTGGATATTTAATTTAACTGGGTGCAGACAGGAAGATGTAGATCAAATCATTAGAAGTGATTATCAATACTTGATCTTACAAAAAGAAATGCATCCAGAAACTGGAAAACTTCATCATGTGAGAGGATTCATTCAAATGAAATACAGCGGTCATCAGAGATACATGTACAAAAAGATTCATGGGTTAACCTGTTTTGATATGTCTCACAGCACACCAGAATTGGAAAGAACATTTTACAGACAAGGTGACTATGAAGAATATGGGGTTCTTAAATCTGAGGTGAGAAACAAAGAATTAGTTCCAAGAGATTGTAGATTTACCTAAACAAAATATTAAAAAAAAAATTGTTGTTCTATAAAAACAAGGGTCATTTTAAAAATAGACTCATTTACATCATGAGTCTTCAGGAGATACAAGGTGATTTACTTAACTGTGAGGTAGAAGCCGTTGTCCATCAATGTAATTGTTTAACTGTAAAAGCTCATGGATTGAGTCAAAGTATTGCAGAGAAATTCCCTCAAGCCAATGTGTATGCGACTCGCAGACCTCTAGGGACTAGAAATTTAGCCGTAGAAGAAGATAGAGGAATACCAGGAACCATTAAGGTGTTTACCTCACAAACACCTGTGGTCATTTGTTTACTAGCTCAATGGGATTATGGCAGAGCAAGTCACAGACCTAAAAGAATCTCCACTTATCAAGACACCCCACAAAATAGAGAGCAATGGTTTCAACCCTGTTTACAAAAAATGGGACGTTTACCTTACCAGACTTATGCTTTTCCTTACAAGATTGCATGTGGGTTAGCCAAAGGAAATTGGACTCATTATAGACATTATATTGAACAATTTGCACACACTTATGAAAAACATGTGTACATTCTTCGTCATCATTAATTGTGTGTTTTCATGTGATGTAAAATAAAATGAAAAAAAAAGTACCTTTTATCTGTCATACTCTAAAGTCTGTTTAAACAGGAGAGAAGGTCCACCGCAGTCCCCATGCACTCATAAGCAGATCTCGGGGGCAGTAGAAACACTCAAGTAGTTTTCTTTCCCTGTGATATAATGTCAGTATTTAATGGAAAATTCAGAAATTCATCAGCACTTAGAGATAAAAACTTACTATCTTTATGGTATTGATTTCCATTATCAGTTTTCTTTTTATCCATTTTTTATCCATTTTAAAATATAAACATGTAAATAAAACAGAATTAAATATTATATCTCATTGAAACTTTTAGATTCAAGTTTGTTTTGTTTTTATGTTAAGTTGATTCACTGTGTATTTCCAAAGGAAGACCAGCAGCCAGCACGCTTCACTTCATAGAGAATGGATTATAGATGGTTAGGAACAAAACATATCTCCCAGGTTGAGGACTGTATAGAAAATAAAACTCATTTTGTTATTATGACTTTACTATATGAAACAATGCCTCTTACAAATGTAATGCAAACTAATATCTCTTATATATGGATACCTTATTTATACTCTAATCAATCATATTAAATGTCATTCGTAAAATGTATTTTTAAGACAGATTTATTTAGGATCGACTTTAAATGATGACATGAATAGCAGGCCATACTTTAAGCACATGACAAAACATTCTCTCAAATTATTGAGAACTGGGTTATTTAGCATAGCTGACATTAAACATATAGGTGAAGGATTAAAAAAATCACAGTCATAAACAATGTGAAAAAACTTTAAACGACCTGCACGGTGGATTACAAGCCTTTTTCACTGGGGTAAAATCTTGCCGAGATTCATCATGACCGCCTAATTTACATAGAAAATTAAGTCGTACTTGAACACATTCAGTGTAAAGTGTTTATGAGTTTAGCAAAATTAATTTTTTTTTTTAAATTATAAGGGGAGTTTACCAAAAAAAAATTAATAAGAAAAAAAATTTAAAGTTATTTTAAAAAAGTTAAAAGAAAAAAAGTTAAAGTTAATTTAAAAAAAAAAAATTATAAGTTATTAAAAATTTTTTAAAAAGTTATAAAAATTTATAAGTTCTTATAAAAGTGACCTGGTGTTATAACTTGAGAGACACACACACACACATACATTCGTTTCTTGTTTACCCCACTGTATAAGGTACTCTTTTCTAAGACACACAAAGTATCTTTTTATCAACTGTATAAGAAGGTAATCTTTTTTTTTCTAAGACACACAAATCGTTTCGTTTCTTTGACTGTATAAAAAAAAAAGATCATCTTTTCTTTCTAAGATACAATCGTTTCTTTGACTGTATTTTGAAAAAAAAAAGATTTTTCTGAGACACACAGAACGTTTCTTAGTTACCTCTTGTAAAGTAAGCATCTTTTCGAAACAATTGGGTGGCCGTGAAAACGGCCGTTTTTTGTTATTTTTGTGGTTTTTAAATTTTTTTTGTTTTTTTTTTTGCAAATTTTGTTGTCAAGGGGGAGTCCCCGGTAGGTTCCTAGGCGGCTAACAGTTCTTGAACCATCTGGCCTATGTTCTCATCATCCGAATCACTGGAATCAGGGGGGGCCAAATTCCGGTCTCCGGGACAAGGGCACCAACAGACGGTCATGGTTCCGGCAGAGGGGGCACGGAAGGTTTTGCTCTACCACTCTGGCCGTGCAGAGCAGACAGGAGGGTCGTTGTAAACATCGACTGCAGCAATAGTTACTGGGTTCCCCCTCTGCCAGACACAGGCTGCACATAATCGGTTGGGTGGGCAGCCGGAACCCCCAGCGGGGAATCCGTCCCTCGTTCCTGGCTCTGGTTTGGGGGCCAGCAGGTCTGGGCGGTGGTGGGGGCGGCGATCGGGGTGTTCGCCTACTTCTGTAAGGGTGTGCCCTCCTAGTCCTGTTCTGTGGCTCGGTATTCATCTGAATCCTCACCATGTTGAATCTACTGATCTCCTCTCCTGTGTCAATCGTCCTGACGACAACATGGTGCTCAATAGCAATTCCGGGGATCATGTATAATTCTTCCTGAAATAAGTTTTCCATCTTCTTCTTCTTCTTCTTTCTTCTAAAGTCAATCAGAATAAAATGCAGAATGACAGTGAGCTCTCAGGAGGGTATGTATTTATACACAATACCAGATGATAGCCAAATATCGCGGCAAACATCGATAATCCATCATGTGATTAAAATCCTGACATGTGATAGGATAACACAAAAAAATCGCTTTTGCAAAAAGCAAACGACAGTTCAATATGGCGGCAACTTCAATAATCAATCATGTGATCAAAAATCGTGACATGTGATAGGTTAAAACAAATAAATCGCTTTTGGAAAAAGCGCTACCTAACGTGTAATACAAGAAATCATGTAAATAAGGATAAACTTATGGATATTCAACATCTTTCCATTCTCTGTATGCAATACAATATAAAATAAGATAACAGTTAAATCATGGAATACTATATATATTAAACAACTTTTAATCATTAATTTCAATCATACACAATGTTTTATCCAAGTATTGAACACATTAAATCATCAACATTCGCCCGTAAATTTATCGACTACATTAAGAGTGACAAATCCAGGGAACCCGAACCCGAGTGTATAAAAGATGACGTCATAAAATAACATAACATAACTGTGATATTAAATGATTTTTCTTTTATTTCTTAAAAACTAACAAAAGCTTCTAACTGTCGAATTCTCCTCCGGATATTTTTTGCACACGGTCCCCTAGTATTACCTGTATAGTCAGCATAAAAAAAAAACGTAGGTCTATCATATTTTTTGCACACGGTCCTTTACAGATGATGCAACAGGTATAAAAACGCAGGTAAAAAGTATTGATGCACACGGCCCCTTACAGTAAAGGTATATAAACCAGAGCTGGACATTAAAGATCACTTTTGGTGAGCACTTGGAACTGGACACAGGTAAAAATGGAGCACGCAAAAAATATGACAGAGAAAACGGA